CGCGAGGACCTCGGCTCTTTTAAGTTTCTCAATATTCTTCCCATGAATGACCTTTTTTGAATTTTTATAGATTCCGGCTAGTTTTTGGCAAAAATGTTTAAAAAAATCAATCAATTTGAAAACTTGAGCAGAAATAATGTTTTCCATACTTTCGTTCATATCAAGGATACAACATTTTGTTTAGCTCTACTTGGCAATTTTTGCTTGACCATACGTCTACAAATTCTCAGCTTTGAAACTCATATTTTACTAGAAAATTGTTATTTTTTCGAAATGGAGCAAAAAGGAGCAAAACTGTTAATAGCCTCTAATAATAAAGGGTTCACACAATACGTGTACAATTAACTTTACTCCACGAAACACGAACAATTTTTTTTAAATTTTAGTTATTTTACACGACATTAAAACATAGAAAAATTAGACAATGAAACAAATGTATTCAAAAATTGGAATTGACAGTTTATATTATTTGCCGCAGCATTAAACTTGAAAGTTACACAAATTTTCCTGCGTTTTTTTTGCTTACAGAGCAACTCTGGGTTAGGTGACTTTCAGCCCTACGTTTTATAGTAGGGAAAATTCATAAAAATGTTTACAAATACTTTCTAGTTTAGTTAAGATGCATATTATTTTAAAATAAAACAAAAAGTTTAAAAATTAACACACAAAAAACTGCAATTATGCCAAAATTTCGGGTTTTTTTTTCCTATAGTGCACTGGGATGAAGACGAAACGCAAGCTTCAACCGCTCCTGTTTGGACAACGAATTTTTTTTTGTACTATGCAACTTGTCTTGTCTTCAGCTTTGTCTTCATCTTCGTCTTCGTCACAGCGCGTTTGCACTGTTTGCAGCCTAACGCTAGTTTAACAGAAAAATCAAGAATTACGAATTACAAGAGGTTACGAAACGAAATTACGAATTATAAGAGGTTTCGAAACGATTTATAAGAGCAAGATCATGGCCGAGTAGGCAGAAAAATTACGAATTAACGAGGGGACCAAAATGTATGGGATTTTTACGAATTAACGAAGTTTTTTCAAGGGACTAGCAATTTCTTACGAATTATTGAGGTTTTCGATTTAGCGGGGTACGAATCATCGAGACTCGTCTCGTATGGCGTCTTAACAGTAATGTGATTTCGTTTTAATTACTGTTGTTTGAAACGACGCGGTGGTGCTGTATGCAGAAGCGCCGGCGATCTTTATTTTAGTTATTTTGAAAAACATGCTAATTGGCTTGGGTGCGAGTTCAAATCCAGCGGAGAACACTTTTTTGTAAAATGCAAATTTTTGTTATTTTAGTTTCTTTTATATTATTTAAATTTCATAAAAGTTTTTCTTTCCGTATTATGAATACCTATTAAGTTTATTTATAAGTATAAATCATAGCTCGTAAATAACAGTTGACACAATCAAAAAAAACTCAGACCGAAATTGATTTGGTCGCGACTGGCTTAGGTCTGCTCACGCTCTGAGCGAGACTGTTATTTCTGTTTTCGTTTCGCTCAAGTCAGTCACTGATCGTTTGCTTGAGTTAAATGAAGCAAACAGTCTTTTGCGTATGTATGGGTAATCACACGCGATTGTTGCGTTCTTTTATGTATGTATGTATGCATGTATTTACATGCACACGAAGGCAAAGATCATTTCTCTTAAGTTTTTTAGTCAAACAGTCTTTTGCTGAGAGTCTTTGTGTAAGCGAAAATCGTATTAGTCTTTACGCGACTGTTATTTGAGAGCGTCACACGAATGAGTCATTGCAATGCGTCTGACCGAAACCGATTCTAAACAAAACANTAAAACCCTTATCGAAAACCAGTTATAAAATTATATCTTCTACACCTTTATTGCTAGAGTCTCCAAGTTTTTTATGTATGCTTATATACAATTTATACAATTTCGGTTTTTGTAAAAATTTACCCCCCACCCCTATATTCATCCCCTCACTTTGTAAAAGGCGTATTTCAAATACTAGAGACTTGTGCTTTGGCAAATACATGTATATCCATATTATTATTAATTATAATCTAAAAGTTTCATGAAGATCGTGTGTCCACAAAAAAAGTTATTAAACAATTAAGTTCTCATAGTAAGCGCACACTGCGCCCATGCGTGTTTATGCTTGTGTGTGTATGTGTTTGTGTATGTGCGTGTAAATGTTTGTGTATGTGTATGTATGTGTGTGTGTGTGTGTGTGTGTGTGTGTGCTTGCGTGTGTGCATGTTTCTTGTGTAAGCTGAAAGACGCGAAAAATTATTGAAATAGCAATTACTCCAAGGGTTCAGGGGATCTCATAGTCGAGCAGTCTCGACTACAACTTTCTTGTATTAAATCACCCTATATACAGCGCTGATTTCGAGCTTGCCTTTAAAATTCGATAAATCATCCCGTTATGTTTTTATGGAATAAAAACATTCAAGTTCAAGTCATATGCCAGTATAGCTAATTGTGAATAATTTTTAATTTTTTTAAATTTGTCAAATAATCAATAGAATGTGAAGATGCTGAAAGTTTCATTAAATTCCGTTAAGTCAGTCGACGTTAAAAAATAATAAAATGTTTGGCCAATTAACAAACGCACGTGCAGCAGCTAGCACATTCTTAGAATCACATCAGCAGTTAGTTTGGTTTAATTTTGCTAGATAGGTCTGCAGCAGTGAATCTATTTCAGTTTTGCCAACGTAGCTTTTAAAAGTGAGGTGGCGTAGTAAGTAGCGGCGTGAGGCTCGATCGAGGAGTCGCGAGTTCGAAACCAGAGCTGAGATTAACTCTTTTTTAATTGTTTCAAAATATTTACATATTTAATTAAATGTGTTTTTATTGAAATTTAAATTGAAATTGAAATTTTAACCATACTAAATTTTTAGTAGTTTAGTCCAGGGTAGTATCTAGTCGATCAATCTCGACTAGAGTTTTCTTACTTGTTTAATTATGTTTAACAATATTCTTACTGCAGTAACAATTATTTTCTCACAAATGAAAGAAAACGCGCAATTTTTTACATGTATAAGCAAAACTATCAGTGGGACTATCGACCACTATCGTGTATGCGGCACCATCGATAGTAGGCCGACTCGATAGTGCTCTACCATCGATAGTTTGGCACCTCTAATGTATATATTTTCAACAACCCTATTAATAACCCACCCGTTGTTACACGCACTATGTATATGCAGGGTAACCGCTCGCCGAGGATTTATTTCTATCCAATGTGCGTGGTCAAGATGTACAAGTCAGTACTACACCACCAGCAGCGGCAACAGTACCATCACCTACAAGTTATCCTGCCCCTCTGCCAGGCTACATATATTACGCATATGCCCTCATTAGACTGAGAAAAGCAAACGCGTTATTTATTTATTTATTTTGAAATGTGCGACTCAATGCTGATGGTGTGCTAACAGAGAGTGCTGAATGCATTCGAAAAAAAAGGCTCGGTAGGTCTTGAAGACTGGGCTCTGGCCTGCAGTCGAAACCACAAGGGGGTCTAACCACCCCTACCCGCAACCGCCCTTATGCCTTCTCGCGTTCGCCCATGCCACCCATCAAGTGCTGCGTGTTTAACACGCAGCACGCACTTATGTCTTATGTCTGCCTCTTGCCCCCTGCGAGCGTTTTCTTGGTTTCCTTTCGTTCCCTTCCAACTTCCAAGTTCCGAGTTGTTCTCTGTTTATTTTTTCTTTCCTTCTATTTGATTGTAGAGCTTTGTAAATCAAAAATCACCCCTAATGATGAAGTACGCATATTTCACATGTTCGCTTTGGCGAAATGTGCGCGTACGACTAGGGTTACAGCAACACACACCTGAACTAAAAACACACACCTATATACATATGTATGCATCAGGGGTACTCAATTAATTTTACATATAAATATTTCAAGAATTATATCTTATACAAATCACCCTTTCATCACTGCCTATCATTGTTTACTATATTCCTTTCGCAAATAAATGTTATATGCACACTAGGGTTGTCGAAAATATATCGAAATATCGAAAAAATATATTTATATCGGGATATTTTTTTGCCAAGGTATCGAATATTTTTTACGTTTTTTTTTTATATATATATATTTGAGTTGGTCGCTCTTGTGATTAGTGAACCAAGCGAACAGTACAAAAATTGAATATGGAGAAAACGAATTATTCTGACTTTAAGAATGGAATATCCAAATGTAATTTGTGCCTTAAATTAATAAAAGCAAGTGGTAACACATCAAATAAGGCGCCGCGTATGAAAATGAAGCACTATGATGCTTACACTGTGCAGTACACTGTGCGGAAGAGAGGGAGCTTGAGATGTACCGCAGCTTGCCGCAAACTTCTAGGGAAAATAATCCAAAAAGGCGGCTATGCCAGGAGTATCAGAGATCGTATTACGATGCCTAACCACCCCTGATTGCTCTGTGCTTTCGGAGCGACTTGTTTCGGCAATAAAATGTTTTGTCTGCGACTCACGAAGTCGTATGACGGATAATCATATCACAGAATGCATTTTTTTTAAATCTTTGAGTACCGAATACTGTAGTTAGGCGGTCTTCATCATTTTAACAAATAATAATCATTTTTATTGTTCTTGTTTTTTGGGACGGATTTTAAAATTATTGTGGAAAAAATCGAAAACCCTAGATATATCGATTTTTTCAAAGTTACATCAAATATCATTTTGATATTTTTTCAAAACTTAAATTATCATCGATACGATATTTTAAAATTTTTCGACAGCCCTAATGCACACATTAGACTATTGGCATAAAATCTGTAGTTATACGTACCTATCCTATATATGTATTTATATATGTATATCCTATTCGATGCCTGCGTATCCCAATAGGACAAATGAACTTTCTAGAAGACCTGACGCTTGGATGTCTTTAGCTTGAGCGTACAGTATTTATGTGCAAGTGCTATGTGCATATGAGTGTGCGCCTGCCCTTTTTTTTTTTTTTTTTTTTTTTTTTTTTTTTTTTTTTTTTGTGAACACTGGCCCTTAAAGTGCGTTCGCTATACGGATCATAATGTAGGGGCATGTGTGTATGCATGCATGTTTGCAAAACTACTTGAGCGTTGCATATACTTTGCTTGATGCTGGACGGCGGCATTTGCATACATATACACATACATACATGCACAACCGATCGTATGAATAACAATATTTATAATTTAAATCAGCTCTGAATTTGAGAATCGATAACCAATATTGTGGACTAGTTTCCCAAAGGACTATTTTTCTTTTCCACACTTGGTCAAATGACAAATGATAAATACAAATATACATAAACACTTACATGCTGTTCGATGTATTCCAATGCATATAGAATGTTTTAGCGCAGCTAGACATTGTGGACAGTAGGACAGTTTCTATGCATATTATCGTCAAAAGCGTGGCAAGGGACGTGGCACCCAGACTGGGCAATGGAACTAACATTTTGTAGCGCACGGAATGGTACTTCTTCTTATTGCATATGTTAATACCTCTCGTACTGTTCTTGCCGGAATCTCGCTCAGCAGCGATCTCTCCCGTTGCCGACGACTGCGGGAGTCGCGGCAATTGATGGTTCTTGAGCTGCGTTGCATTAAAATGCTTAATACGCTGTTGTTCTTCTTGTTGTTGGCTAGCACAAATCTTAGCTGTGGTTGTTGTAGGTGGTATTGGATTGGCAAGGATTGTTTTCTTGTGGCTCTTGCTTTTACTTTTGGTCTTTCGATGCATCGTCGCTGCCATTAAGAGCGTGGTCGTCGGTTGATTTCGTTTTCGAGCAATTGGCGTACATTTTTTGTCAAAAGTCGACGGTGAAGTTATTGTTCTATTTCTAGGCTCCTGCTGCTGCTGCTGACTTAGGGTAACTGACTTTCCCAACCATTTATCATAATTCATATTATGATCCGCAAATCCATTCTTAATGCAATTAATACGTACGGCCAAAGAATCTGCTGCCGCATCCTTATCACTCGAATCGGCATTTGACTCGGACATCAGCTGCTCTGCTATGTTTACTGTTCCAACGGTTCTTGTTAACGACTTCCAGCTGGGCGTCAGCCCACTTGACTTTAGGAACAGCTGATCTTGTTCTTTCCCAGCAGTTCCGGTCAGCGAATTCCAGTTGACAATTAGCCCCATTTTTTTAGTCATTTTAGTCATTTATACTGTTATACATATATTAAGTATCTTGTATTACAAATTTACTCCTTATTGAATTTTTGTCACCTTCGAATTGGGTGCTCTTTAACTCTTTCCGTATCTATTTCTTGCACTGCTTTGGACCTTTGTAGACACGTGACTTATTTTTGACCCGATCCTAATGCTAACGCTAGTGCTAAAAATCATGCCGCTGACCCAATTGACGTTTTTGCTTGCTTTTGACGATACTAAAATTGTGCCCGTCGGAAACATGCCGAAATCCCATGTTTCTGGAAGTTACGAAGTAAGATCTGATCAGTAAATGTAAGGATGCGCCTATGCCATTATGTACAATGCATGTTCATGTGTTTTATATGTGTGCACGAAGCGGCTGCTCTTCAACAGTAACAGTGACGGTAATAGTAACAGTAACAGTAACACCAAACCTAGCACAACTACTAATAACACCAGTAGCAGTAACAGTAAAAGTATATGCATGTATCTATGTACATATGTTCGACTCTTTTTTCAAGTGAATTAAATTAAAAAATAAATATTTGCATTGTATCTGTGAAACATATACATACACAACATATGCTGCTTCACTTTTAATTCACTTTTAGTACCTTAAATGCCGACCACTGCTAAATTTGTATACAGGCGAAGATTGTAGTGTACAAAAGTAAGTACATATGTACATATATATTCGCCCATTTTATAATACAAAATGTAGGTAATGGCATATGCTAATATACATAGATACATATACTGATGCTATTTACAAGGACTTAAATAAACATTTTGTTTTTGAAAGAAAAAATAATAATGCAAAACCTTATGCTTCTGCTCTCCTGCTCTCCCACATTCTATCTCACTCTGTTTCCTCCCCCGTTGGATATCTCACTAGCGCTATCTCACTAGCGCGCTCTCTCTCTCTCTCTCTCTATGTATATATATGTATAACGCGCTCTGTGACTGCCTTTCGCAGGAAACTCAAATACATAAACATTGAATCCGACGATTTTCTCGTATACATACAGAAACAATTACCAATACCATAAACGAATACACCTTTTTGTGGCCTAAAACGCGATTTAACTCGTAAAGGAAGCATGTAAAACGTTGCGTCAGAGTCAAAAATCGTGTTACTCTCGCCATATGTATATACGAATGTAGCAATTTGGTATTCTGGCTGTTTCATTTGAAATGCAAAATAACCACTTACACGCACACACAAAAACAGACAGAATGCAGTGTTCTATGTATATATACATTTCCGAATTTGATTTTACTTTTCAGCTTCGCATTTTCCCATTTGTTTTTTAACTCATGCTAAGCTGCCGTATCCGTATCCACAGCATTTTATTTTATATTATTTCACTAAATTCGTTTGTAAATAACTATTATACAGTACAGAGCTATGTATTAGGTGTAAAAAATAATACGAAACTGACAGTGTGGTAGTATCTGAAAAATGTATCTGTATCTAAAATGTATTTGTACAATTATTTTCTAGTTACATGTTTATTTCACGGAACTACCTCTATGCGTCTCTAAAAAAAATACTGCAAATACTGAATTTGCACAAATAATATAAAGCAAACAAATTTTACGAATGAATAACTGTTATTCATTTGATAAAAGTATTTATCGAACGTTGTTAAAGAAAGGAACCGAATCGATCACTAGCTATAATTATGTGATTATCAATAATAATTCTAATTGTTTTCGGATATTTTCTAGTATTATTTTAAGGTTAAGATATTATGTTAAGGTTTCGGGTATTTTCTAGTATTATTTTAAGGTTAATTATTGTTTCGCTACCTCTAGTCAGATTGTCATTGAATTTAAACTGTCTACATATTTAAATATAAGTAAACTTGTTTACTATAATGAGTTAGCGATATGTTTACATAATGTCTCATAACGTTGATTTTACATTCGATAAATTTGTCTGACAAAGCAAGTAACAGCTATACCGCTGACCAGAGAACACATTCAGTGCTGCCAACTTTTCCGGGCAAGAAAATGCTAAATTACCCTTTCAAACCTGTTAGAAATAGCTAGATCAAATTCTAAGAGTAGCCTGAAATATAACCAGGGTTTATACCCTGAACCCATTGACTAGGGAAATCAGGGTATAAAAGTATATATATTCCAGATCAAAACGTTCAGCTGAATCGATTTAGCCCGGTTCGTCTGTCTGTCGGTCTATACGAGCTAGAGACTCGTGTGCGTGTATGTGTATGTGTATGTGTTGTTTCTTGTGTGAGCAGAAAGGGGCGAAGAATTATTGAAATATGAATTGCTCGATGGCTTCAGGAGATCTCGTAGTCGTTTGCATATTTTTGCTCTTTTCCGGTTGAAATTATTGGGTAAATTGCACGCTTTAATCCATTTGTTGAAATTATTTTTATTTGATGGAAACGAAAAAAAATTTAACTGGAAAATTTACGGAACTTTTTCTTGCATGCTTAAATTGTTCACAGCAACACTGGAATTCAATGTAGCACTCATTTCAGCCATAGTGTTAAGAAATATTTTTATAAATTTTTGCTCGTTTCGCAACAATATGATAAATACTGAAGATCAAACGATAGCACCGTTCGTTATGGAAGTTGAGTGAAACTTTATGACATGTAACGGATACGGATAGACAAATTCATTTTTTTAAAAAAGGTTCAAATTGACCTGCATATATATGCACAAGTGCAAGGGTTCAAAAACACATCCCATTATGCCCACTGGGTTTGATCAGGTACTATAATTTTTATACCCTGAACCCATTTTCAATGGGAAATCAGAATATAATGGTTTTGTTGAAATGTATGTAACAGGCAGAAGGAGGCGTGGCAGACCCCACAAAGTATATATATTCTTGATCAGGGTGACGAGCTGAGTCGATTTGGCCCTGTCCGTATGTATGAACGCGCCGATTTCAGAAGATATAAGAGCTAGAGACTTC